TTTTTTTTTCACGTCTGAAGGATATAACGCAAATAAATTTCTTGCATTAAAAATACTGAAAAAATTCCTTTAATTTCAACTGACAATTTTAACTGGAAGCGTGGTTTCAGTGAGGTATTTTATTTGATTGCCACACTTTGCTTCTGTATTGTGCTGGGTTCAACAGCTCTGAAATCGCAAGGGTTCAACAGGAAGCGGTACTGAAGAGATTGAGCTGAGAGACCCCTCGGCTGCTACGGTCTTTGTAAGGACTTCCACTGGGTTTTTCCTCTTTTTCTTTACTTATTTTTCATTTCTACTTAATCTGCTTTCAGGGTACGCAAGCAGATGTCAGCAGGGCTTGACAGGGAAGAGCAAACCAAACGCCGCAGAAACTCAAAATTTTACAAGAAATCCTGTTTTCAATTTCCCTGTTCATCGTAATCCCGTAAATAGGATAAATCATTTGCTAGCTAGACAGTCCCTGTAGAATGATAACGGCTCGTTAACAGGATGCTTTCAGAAGCGCGTCTAATATGTATGCTACAGAACTGCAGAAATGATCTTCTAAACCTTGTTGGCATACGACCAAATACGGAGCTCGTCGAAATTACAAACCTTCCTTGAAAAGAAAATCCCAACCGGCTAACTTAATTAATTTTTCTGCGGCGGCTAGAATGAGTGTAACTAACAACAGCTGTAATATTTCTCGCACAACATTCGGTTTGCTTTTGAACATGTAATTGGCTCATTGACGCTAGATATTATGAGAAGCTAGTTCGACTTTTGCTATCAAAATGAAATGTTATGCGAAGGTTAGCACACCGTATATTATGAACGGAAAACTCCGGAGATCATATCGTGCGAAGGGTCTGTTAAGGCACTTTTGATGACCTTATACCATGGCTCTCGGGATTCATCGTAGACTATTTCTATAAGGCATTCCTTCTCGTCGACCCAGTTTAAACAGACTTCACCACCGAACATAAAAATGATATTCTGGAAACAAGGCCGTTTAGAACTGAACTCCTCAAGAAAACAAATAAAATTGAAAAATTACATCTTTTAGGGATAAGTTCGGATCATACTGTTTCAGGCATTCTGAGATCTGCTCTCTATCTTGAAGAAGCGGTTTAAAACGATTAACGAATTCCACTTTGTGGAGTTTTACGCCTATAAGCTTTGCAGCATCTTCAACCGATATTACGTTCAGGTCCTTCCTCTGCAAAATCTGGAGATTAGTAAAGCGAACATTAAAACTAGCTTACAACAACAAAAAAGGCAATTAAGGATTCACCTCGGCGTCTAATGTGAGTACTGCATGGAACGGACAAAATCTTTTACTCGGAGTCGGGTCCAAGGAAAGTGACCTTTCAATGATATCAACAGGAACACTTATTTCAACTTTCGGCTTCGTTCGGATGGTCACAGATTCCCCATTTGCTGGTTTGTATACGTTCACTTTAAACTGCTAAAAGATGATGAATGGCTCAGGTGCAAAAATTATATCCAATGGATGTCCACAAATTTTAAATTACCTCCTCAACTTGCGATTTTAAAAATTCCATCTTCGCATTTTCCCCATGAACGAACATTACATTCTTAGGTTCACATGCACGAATCAGCTGGAAAAATACAGGATGAACTGATGAGGAATTAAATTTCCTGAACAATTGAATCTTCACTGAAGCCAAATTTCCCGAAGTCTGTGTCAAACACTAGCTCATTTATTCATTTACTAACAGAAGATGTCATAAATATTCCTCTAAAAGTTAGATAGTTGTTCAGACCTGTAAAATCCCCTTGGCATCTGCATGAGCACTGAATGACATATACTCAACGCTTAATCGAACGTCTACCTGCAAAATATCAGTAAACGTATAAAGGTAATATAAGTTAATAAGAAAACCAGGGGTTCCTGTAACTACTTACTTTGTCTCCATCTATTTCAACCTGTTTTTCGCCTGCAATAACTTTTGCACCAACAGTACCGCTGGTACAGAAGCCAGGCATAATGATCATATTATTTGGGTCTGAACACCACCTTTTAAAAATGCGTAGTGACTGCCCACCATGAAGCATCCCTCAAATAAATCAAGAATGCAAATTTTAAAGAGATACAAGGTAAAGGCTTGGTGAATTTCCAATAGCAAGCAAGTCATACCTGGAGGACTAAATAACACCATAGGACCAGGAGAGTCAACATATGAATTATCAAAGGGCTTTATGTGTTTGTAATCAAACAGATTTCTGTCGTAAAAACATCGTCTCATATTCTCGTTCATCCAAGTGGTAAAAAACCGGAAAAACTAAAAAGCAATTTACTAGTTATAGGCTCAAATTAAAGAAGATGTTTGAGTTGCTGATTGGGAACTTCTGCGTTTGCAATTTTTTTCAAAGAAACTTTTCACCAAAACCTGTGTTGCCCGCTCAGCTAGACCCTGCGAACAATAAATTGGAACTGAAAGGTTTTTCCGTTCCCAGTATGTATCCAACAGTATGCATAATTCCTGTGCTCGACCCAATGCAAATACTGGAATTAACACCTAAAGGATGCTAAGGGAGGAAGTGATTAAAGAACATAGAGAACTTTTAAAACTATTCGCTGTTTTATACACATGGTAGAAACCAACCGAAATCTTTCAGTAAGTGAAAATATGCAAACTGAAAAGTGCAACAAATCTCCAGCTAACCTTTCCACCGTTTATTACGCAGTCATGAACCTTCTTCAAGAAATCGCCTTCTCTAGCACGTTTCGAGTCTCTGATAGTAGTAGCATACGTAGTCTCCGTGATTAGTAAATCGGGGCGTAAACCTGGCCTGACACGTGCTGCTCCCAAGTGGCGGTCAGGAGTCATATTATAATCTCCTATGAATTACTGCGATTTTGTAAGTGCAGAGAAGGGCAAAAGTCAAAGACTTAATTTTGAAAACTATTAAAAATCATTCGGAAATAAACAATCAAAACAATAAACACACCGGTGTAAAGAACACTTTCATCTCCAACTTTTATGAGGAACATTGCTGCACCAAGAACATGGCCAGCATAATATGCACAAATTGTGAGATCATCAAATACATTAACTTCTTCATGAATGTTCACTCCTATCGTCTAAATCAATCAAAAATTATAAGTAATTTGGATTTTCAACAAAAAAGATATGTATTAAGAAAAAAATAGAAGCTTTAGAAAGACTAACCTTTCTCATACAGTTTTTTATCATCTGTTGTGTGAAACAAAAAGGACTGTTTTTTGCCTCCACCTGGACTTTTCTGTAGTCCTCCTTAAACAATAAAAATGCTTTATTCTTTTAAAGCTCTTAAGAGATACTGAAGAATCTTACCAGCATTACCGGTACAATCGCTTTAGTGGGATACGTCATATATATAGGTCCATTATATCCTACAGTTTCACTCATATGCGGCAGAGCCCCACAATGATCCAGATGAAAATGTGTAATAATGACACAATCAATATAGTTTGTCAGAGGTGCATTACCGCTAATAAACCTTCAATTAAACTCACTTATAAACTCTGAACTAGCTATATTTCTTTTAAACAAAACTGACCATGCTAGTCTTTAATGTG